GGGGGGAGGGGGGAGGGGGGGAGAAACCATGTGGCTTGTAGAGCAAAAGTCACAAGGAGCATAAGAATGTGCTTCGTGTCAAAACTTCCAAGGACTGCTTCCCACTCTTATTTAGTGGAACTGCATCCGGAGGCTGCAAGCTTACTTTTTCTCATAAAATGCACGGAACTAAAAATAGCGTTTGGAATCCAGTCTCTTGGTAAGCTGAGGGTTCCAGCGCTTGACTTGCAATTAAGATAAGTTGCCTCCAAGTTAATTATAGGTCCCTGGATTGAACAGCCGGATTCTCAGTCTTCCAGTGCATTTATTAAGTGCCCGTGAAAGAGCATACAGCGGAAACCGTTGCAGGGTAGAGGGGTTTGTAGATATTTTATGAGGTAAGGCAGGTACCCAAAGGCCTTCACTGAGGACGCAGAGGTGACATGCGGTTCTCTGTTCGCACTGGAGGGACCAGTAGAGGAATGGACGAATGCAGACTTGAATTAAGCGCCTTGTTTCTCCTTCTGTCCCTAGGCCCCGGGTAGAGCCAGGCCTCCCTGCAGTTGCGATCTAAATCCACTAGATGGCAGGCACGACCTGGTGAAAGCGGCAGGAGCCTGGGGCCTTTAAGGCCTCCAGGTGCAGCCACAGCGAGTTCCTGCTCAAGGCTGAGGTTCTGGGGTCCCGGTGCGTGAGCAAAAGCGTCAGATCAGAGGACAGTGAATGGCCAGGGAGGGCATGACAGCGGGAAAGCTAAGGATGGGGAGAGTGTGGAGGGCTGTGGCCCGGACGGTGAAGGTCAGGTGAAAAAGGTCAAAGGCTGGGCGATCAGCCCGCGGAGGAAGCAGGAAGAGGAGCCGCTGCCGGGGCCAGCGGTCTGGGGCCTCAGTGCTCTGCCTGGGCCCCGTCCAGGCCCCTGGGGTGTGGGAGACACGGAGGCCAGGGCGCAGGAGCAGGCGGAGGAGCCGGATCTCCAGTCCGCCCAGGCTGCTGCAAATGCTCGGAGAGGCCGGAGCAGAGCTGTGCCTGACGGTCAGGAAACTGGTTATGTGTGCTGGTGCTCAGATAGACCAGCGGAAGCCATGCACAAAATCATCCTGAAGGCCAGTGACCTGAGGCCACGAGTCGCCTGGAGACCGGAAGTCAGGAGGCCGGCCAGGCAGTGCTGCTGGAACCGAAGGGAATATTAGACGGATTTTTGGCGCCCACGCGACCGTTAACGGAAATGGGTGAAGAGTATTTTACTCTGAATATTAATAAAACGGTCAAGATAGTTAATATTAAGATAGTAAAGTCTATCTTATTTATTTATTCGTTTTTTGGTACTGGGCATCGAACTTGGGGCCCTGAGTTTGCCAGGCAGGCGGCTCTGAGCTAAATCCGGGGCCCAAGTCTATCTAATTTAAATAACTAGATTTTCTGCACTTAGAGCAAGCGTTAAGGAAATGCTAACATCTTACAACTGCATAATTTACTATTTTTCACCATCCATTTTACCTAAGGCATGGAAATATTTATCTCACTGCAAATATTTAAAAAAATTTTTTTTCTTGAGACAGGGTTTCACTGCAGGCTGGCCTTGAACTCGGTGATTCTCCTGCCTCAGCCTTCTGAGTGCTGGGGTTACAGCTGTGGGCTGCCATGCCTGGAGAACATTTTTTGTTATAATCAAATCTTCAGGAGTGTATACATGGCCGTGGTTTCCTTCAAGGCTTTGATAGGATCATTCAAATCCCCCTCATATTGTAGATGTCTGTCTGTCCTTACGGCAGATACAAGTCCTACAGCAGTACCCTGCCTGTGCCAGCCCAGAGTGAGGCCACTCCTTGCAGCCCTGCCATGGGCCCTCTAAAGAATGTGCTAAGGGTAGTGGGCTGAGTCCAAGGTAAACACAGTGGAACATGTATTAAAATGGTGAGAAAAGATTGTGTTCAGTAACTGCCGGCAGAATGGGCCATGCTTCCTAGTCAGAAGCACACTGGTCATGTTCCTCTCTAGTAAACAGTAACCCATGGTCCCGGCCATTTCTAAAAGTCACCAGGACGTAGGTTTATAAACACATCTAGGATCTGTATGATGTTAAAGCATCTCTGAGATAATCTAGCACAGTACAGGTCCTCACAGGTAGCTCCGGCTTACCCCAGAGTGCCCGTGTGCTGGGTAGGAGAGTTGGATGTTCTGTCCCTCTTGACACGACACATAGCACTGTCTTTAGCTGTGCTGTCCTGGCTGCCTTCATGCCCTGGGTTGATTCAAATTACTTCTCTTTCATGGTCATTGAGTTTGGGAAAGAACCAGAAGTCACACGGTGCCAGATCTGGGGAATAAGGTGGAGGAGGACACAATGTAATGTTTTTGACAGAAATTGCTATAAACATTTTGTTGATTCAGGACATCAAAACAGCCAGGCAAAGACACTGATGAAAGAGGTCTTCCGGAACTGCTTCAGACAATGGAAGAGCGATGGGTAAGTGTGTCTGAAGTGAGGGGTGTTCTGAAAGGGAATAATGGCAATGCATTTTTTTACCATAATATTTTTTTGTTTAAACAAACTGCTGTATGTTTTTGATCAGCCCTTATATAGTTCTTAATGTGGGTTGCTTGGGGTATGGGCATAAGGAACAAGAACACCAGGTATTTTGACACAGTAACTAGGGAAGTTTGACATTTCACCATATTGTGGGTAAGGTTTGATATATCTGCTGCTACATAAGATGCAGTTTTAAAATATTTTCATTCTTCCAAAAGTGTTTTTGTCTTTAAAAAAAAAATTTTTTTTTTTTGGTGGTACCCGGGATAGAACTCAGAACCTTGGGCTTGCATCCCTGGCCCAGTGTTTCTTTCACTTCTTCTTCTTGCTCTCCTCCTCCTCTTCCTCTCCTCCTCCTTCTCCTTGTTCTTTTTTTTGTGGTGCCAGAGGCTGAACCCCGTGCCCTCATATTGAACTATATTTCCCAATCCTTTTCTTTTTTATTTTGGGACAGGGTCTTAGTAAATCACTGTCTTCCTCAGACTGGGTTTGGACTTGCCTTGGTCTCCCAGATTATTGGGACGACAGGTGTGCACCACCACACTGGCGACTGCTTCATCCTTAGAATCACCATAGCATCCCCGTGAGGCCTTCTCTTTCAGTTAAAGTTTCTGCCACCCCTGCCCTCTGCTGGCCTCCAGGGCCTCGCACCCGGAGACTTCCTGTGGAGCCTTGGGCAGCAGTGTTTCCTGATCTTTCTCTTCTCCAGCACTTCTTAATTCTTGCTTCACATTCCTTGCTGCAGGCTACACTTGCAGTCCTCCACGCGTTGACACAAGCGATCATTTTCTTGGCATCGGTACTGGTGAGTACAGATCTCCCATAGCGAACCTGTTTCCGCATCAGCAAAACTGAAAGGACTGGAAGAACGAAGCTAGCCGTTTTCAGGGCAGCTCCCGGGGGCTGTGTTTAGCCAGGATGGCCGTGGCTTCCAGCTCCCCTAGTGGCTGCTGCGTCGCCATTTCTCTGCTGCTTTAACTTTCCTGCTGTTGAACTTTCCCTTGGGGAGGGTACAGGAGGACAGATTTGTTCTGCCTAGTGTCACAAGGGAAGAGCTTGAAGAACGGCGGTGCTCAGTATTACAAATCAGGCATTGGTCATTTATTTTACAGTTTCAGTGAATTTCCACCAGGATATTTTTACGGTATCTGAAGGAAAAATGACGGTTCAACCTTGGGAAGAAAAGTCGGCTGATAATTTCACAGCAGGAGGCTGGAGGAGGAGCCTCTCTAAGACAGCAGAACAGTGGCTGTGGATCTGCTGGTTCTGATTCGGTGAGAATTCCCATGGGATGTGGCAATTACACTTGCACCATCAAGTTGCTTAAGCAAAGCCATTCACGGTTGACAGAGGCTGAGGGTTGTTTACAAGCAGTGTCATTTATATATGCCATCGACACGTACTGGTGTCTTTAGGGACTAGTTTCACTCAGGGAGAGCAGCGTCTCCACCAACAGCTTGTGGGAGACTCCTTTACGTGCTGTAGAAATAAGTGCTTTTCCTTGGGAGCGTTTGTTCTGTCTTATCGTTTATATTACATCTTTCCACAAACATTTGACTACTGACAAATGAATTTATTAATTTGGAGTCTCTCTTACTGAGCCACATTTTGTAAGGTTCGCCGAGTTCAGGGAAATGAGCCACGAGGAACATGTTCGTTAGAGGCAGGGGACCCAGGTGCTGTCCTTTGGGTAAATGCGATCCACTCCCCTAATTCATTCAGCCTTGGTTTACTCAGTTGCAAGGTGAAGATGTTGTCTACCCACTCAGCACCCTAGAATTTGGCAAGGATGAGAGACGTGTGTGACGATGCTGGGCTACACAGTAAAGGGTTACGTAACTGTAAAGACATCGGCATGGGATCTTGGGAAGGAAGTTGGGTGACACAGTGGTAGTTTTCTCTTATAGCTTTTGAGATTTTAAGCTTATTTTTAGAATGTTAAGAATTGGACCTGGCTGGGTGTGGTGGTGCATACCTGTAATCCCAGCACTCAGGAGGCTGAAGCTGGAGGGTCACTGTGAGTTTGAGGCCAGCCTGAAGTACACAGTGAGAACCTGTGTCCAAAAAAGAGGAGGATGGTGGTGGTGGTGGTGGTGGTGGAGGAGGAGCTAACTCACTATGCCGCCCAGGCTGGCCTTGAACTTGCAGCAA